TCAACCTGCAAACATGCCACAATAATCTCTCCATCGATGTCCTGGAAGCCCTGGGGGTCGTACCATCCAAAACTTGGAAAGATTTGAAAATGCGCGGCGAACAGGCTGAACACTTTCTTAAAAGAAAGAAAGTTAAGAGAGGTCAACCGACGACATCCACAATCACTGTGAACGCGACTCTCGATCCGAGGTTCCAAAAGGAGTATTCTTTCCAAGATGATGAAACTCCAGTCATATTGGAATACCTCCTCGCCAATGATAAAATCGAGCTACCACCTATTAAAGATCAAGAGGGTGCTAAGATGATTACAGATCCAAACTACTGTGCATACCACAGAAGGATTCTTCATCCCACCAATATTTGCTTTGGACTCAAAAATAAGATCCAAGCATTAATTGACTCCGGCGTCATAATGGCGAAACAAGCCAAATAAAGACGACACCATACTCCATTGGGTACACGAGTATAAACTGTTTTCCCTAACTCCGATAAGTATACGAGTATAAACTGCTTCTCCATCTCACTCCGAAGAGTATATGAGTATAAACTGCTCCTCGATACTCCAACAGGTATATGAGTCTAAACTATTTCCTTTCTTTCACGGGAAGTTCCTAGAGAATGCCATGCATGGTACTTTTAAGGATAACCCGATCATACAGCTAAACATAATGATAAACCAAGTTTCGCAAGAAAAGCTGGGGGTGGATGGTTCACGTAACGGAAGTTCCCGAAAAAATACTATATATAATTTTCTTAGGAATAACCCGATCATTACAAACAAAGTGTTAAACACTACATCCCCACGGTGATTTTCGAATACTCTTTTGCTGAGATAAGGTTCGATCACTTCGTTGGATCAATCTTCCCTCACAAATTGAACGATCAAACCTTTAAACAGTTAGGATCGTCTCAAATTTCCATCTTGGTCAAACCTTTAAACAGTTAGGACCAAAGCCAAAATCCCCTCTCGATTCGTTCCATGAACGAGAGGTCCACAAATTGAGCGATCAAACCTTTAAACAGTTAGGATCGTATCAAATTCCCACATGGTCAAACCTTTAAACAGTTAGGACCAAAACCAAAATCCCCTCTCGATTCGTTCCATGAACGAGAGGTCCACAAATTTAACGATCAAACCTTTAAACAGTTAGGATCGTCTCAAATTCCCTCTTGGTCAAACCTTTAAACAGTTAGGACCAAAACCAAAATCCCCTCTCGATTCGTTCCATGAACGAGAGGTCCACAAATTGAACGATCAAACCTTTAAACAGTTAGGATCGTCTCAAATTTCCTCTTGGTCAAACCTTTAAACAGTTAGGGCCAAAGCCAAAATCCTCTCTCGATCCCTTCCATGAACGAGAGGTCCACAAATTGAACGATCAAACCTTTAAACAGTTAGGATCGTCGCAAAACTCCCACTTGGTCAAACCTTACTACAGTTAGGACCACAACCAAAATCCCCTCTCGATTCCTTCCATGAACGAGAGGTCCACTTTTAGTTGAATAATCAAACCTTATGACAGTTAGGATTATTCAAACCCGTCCAGATTCTCTAAGTGGAGATCCCACTTTGAGTTTCCTTTGCACCAGGAGATAGAATATAAAATTCTTACTCTCCGATTTCGGGTTTATCTCTACCAACAAACAAGAGGCCAGGAGATAGAATATAAAATTCTTCTTCTCCGATTTCGGGTTTATCTCTACCAACAAACAAGAGACCAGGAGATAGAATATAAAATTCTTCCTCTCCATCCTTGGGTTCATCTCTACCAACAAAAAAAAGATCATATTACTCCAATAGGTACACGAGTCTAAACTGTTTCCCTACCCCCAGCAGGAAGTTTCTGGAGAATATTACTCAGAATATTCTTAAGAATAACCTGATTACCTTCTAACGGGTATATGAGGTTAAACTATTTCCCGAACACTCCAATAAAGTATATGAGTATAAACTATTTCTCCATTCTTCAATAGCAGTTCTAATTCAAGACTTCGACAACGGCCACGCGATAAACGCAGCACCGTAGGAATTCCAGCTATTCTACAAAGCACTGAATATGCTAAAAGATAAAAGTTGAAGCCATTTATGGGTCCTTCCGTACGATCTACTCAATCAAGCATTGAAGGGAGTGCATATAAGATCTATCTTATCCAAAGTATCCCAGACTCCTCTATACGAAAAATGAGTTTGGAATACTTTGGAGGGGGTATCTGTAGGCGTCAAAAAATACTGAAAGATATCCAAATACAGCCCAAAAGGAGATCATCAAAAAATCAAAAGAATACAGATATGAACTGTCTCGCCAGCGAGACAGTCTTTACTGTCTCGAGACAGTCTTTTACTGTCTCGCAGCGAGACAGTGTTTACTGTCTCACCAGCGAGACAGTGTTGAAATAATCAACAACCACCTTTATAACTGCCGTACACATGTCCATTAACTGCCAAGGACGTGGAAAACATCATGGGCGAGAATCACGTGGATAACTGTCGAAATAACGGAGTTTAAAACGTGGGAAGGCGGTTACTGCAGAAACCACTGTACAGTTGAGTTTTCCGAGATAGTGTTTACTGTCTCGGAACCCGAGACAGTAAACTCTGTCTCGACCGCCGAGACAGCAAACACTGTCTCGCGCGAGCCGAGACAGCAAATGGCTGTCTCGGAGCGTAAGACTGTTCATAGCGCGGCTATAAATACACCCCTTGAGATCATTTTTTTGACGGCGGGCCTGATCATTTGAGCACTCAGAGCCAATTCCAGAGCAGACGCACGAGCCCAGAATTCTTGAGCTTTCTGCGCAATTCCTTGAGCATTCGCAGCCTTTGAGCTTGATCTTAAGAAAGACTGGACTATCTTACTTTGCATAAGATATCGTTTCAAAAAAATTGCTCACTTCGATAAACGAAGGAAGAATCCCAAAACCTTCACGATTCAATCAGAATCTGTGAATCGGTGGTCCACGGGCTAACGCACCCCCGGCACAGGCAAAGATCCCACGCAAGCAGCGATCCAAACAACGATCCTGCGTTTGTTTCTAAGAAGTAATTTTTATTTTGTTGTGTAAAAGAGGTCTTATAAAAAGACTATTTCTTTTGAATTTATTGTAATCGATCGAAGATATAATGAATTCCACAGCAAGACCAACTTTTGACGAAAACAATAACCCACGTTTTTTTTTCGCTTGTTTCGACCTTACGACAATTAGGTATAGGTGTTCTGGAATTCATGATTTTAAGACTTCTTTGTCCAATTCCATTTGCTTCCGGTCAATGGCAACTAAAATTTGCGATTTTATGGGCAATAACTAATGATCTTTGTTTATTTTCATTCATCTCAACCCACTGACCACTAAGTATGAGTACTTTAAAGTTCACAATTTCATAAGTTATAGCATATGATTATTGTTCTTTCTATTCGTTTCGACCTAATAGCAATTAACTATGCATATTTCAAAATTCATGATTTTTATTTGGTACAACTCATGAATTTTTTTCCATTTTTTTTTCCATCAGTTGCTAATTAATTATGCCTACTTAGAAATCACAATTTTGATGGGTTATAAGTTATGATTTTGTTCCATTCTCATTTCTTTATCAAGCAATGACGATTAAGTATGCAACTACGTATAATTCAATATTTTACGATTTTCATAAGCTACAACTCACGATTTATACACATTTTTTGTTTATTTCAACCAAATGTCAATTTAGTATGAGTACCTAAAAATTCAAGATTTTCATGGGGTATAACCTCCGATTTTCATTGAGTATATGCATTCTAAACTCATTATTATTATGAGCTCTATCCTACGATTTTTGTCCATTTTTATTTATTTCGATCTAATTGCAATTGAGTATATATAATTCAAACTTTGCAATTTTATGGCCATAACCCAAGATTTTCATCGTTTTCATTTTTTTTATTTGTCCAATTCCATTTGTTTCGAGACTGACAATTAAGTATGCATATTTTCAAATTTCGCGATTTCATGGACAATAACCAATGATTTTTGTTCATTTTCGTTTATTTCAACCCACTAACTAAATATGTGTACTTCAAAATTCATGATTTCATGAGTTATAGCCTATAATTTTTGTTCTTTTTTATTCGTTTTGACCTAATGATAACTCATGATTTTTGTTCAAATATGTGTACTTTGAAATTCATGATTTCGCGATTATCAGAAACTACAACCCACGATTTGTGTCCATTTTTATTCGTTTCAACCAAATGTCAATTAAATATGGGTAATTCAAAATTAGCCCAAATTTTGCGATTTTACTGGACTTCAACCAGCGACTTTAATGTCAATTCGCGATTTTAATGTCAATTAAGTATGGGCACTTCACAATTCGCAAATTTTGTTCCCTTCGACAAAATGGCAGTTGAATATGTATATTTCATAACTGCGATTTTAATGGACTTTAATCCAATAGGTATTAAGCATAGGTTTTTTAAATTTACTATTTTCATGGGCTCTAACCCACAATTTTTGCCATTTTTATTTATTTCAGTCTAATTGCAATTAAGTACATCTAGTTCAAAAATTGCAATTTCATGGGCTTTGACCCATGATTTTTGTTCATTTTCATTTGTTTCAACCCAATGATTAATTATACGTACTTCAAAATTCACGATTTTTATGAGCCACAACCCACGATTTTTGTTCATTTTTATTAGTTATCTTTCTAGTTTAGGGGAGTGAACCAGTCAATGCCTTGTAGAATAAATTGTTGATATATAATAAGCATTCTTCAGTGACCATGTTACAATGTTCAAGTATCAAACAAAGTTACGGATATGAATTGCACGTTAGCTATAGGCAGAAAATGTTTTTCAGTAAAGGCGCTACAAAGTTGACCTTCCTGCGGCCAAAATGTAGAACTGAAGTGCAGAAGAAGCATGCATTATATCTAAAAGGTAAGCACTACTCTTTCAGGTGAAAAAAAATGAAGTTGCAGTTTACACAAAGAGGAGATTAAATTGCCACTGGATCTTACCTAGTAATTGCACATTCAATGTTGGTCGCATCAGAAGATGCAACTTGAGGTTCAGTCATTGCAAATCCAGATCGAATTTTTCCTTCTAGCAAAGGAATAAGCCATTCCTGTAGTTGCTCCTTTGATCCGTACCTTAGTAGTACCTAGAAAAATCAGAGTCATGTGATAATTAAAGAGAATATCTCAGTGGCTCTCAGAGATTTGGAATCACATAATGAGCTAAAGCATCTAATCAGAATGACTAATTTTCACATAACATGCAGTTACTCACTCCCCTCGAAAATACCATAATATTATATCGTGAGGAAAGAAAAACGCAAAAGGTTACAGGGATAGAAAGATGGAAACTTCAATGATTAATTGATCTTAAGCTTCTATTTATACCCGTGGGATACTCGCTCTTTAGTGAATTAATTGGTATATCATCATCAACATGTTCGCTGTTAGCTTCATAGGTTCACAAGAATGTTGTAATTGATCATCCTGAATTGCATATAACTTCGACAAACTGTTTCCATTGTAGCAGAGGGGACTTTCTATCATGGCTCATTTGATGACCGGCACCCTTTACTTCAAAAGAGGATAGAAGGCAAAGCGAGTTAGTGGATAGATGTCTTTCTAGACAATATGATTTTTTTTCCAATTATTCCATTCTTTCTGCTTACAGTCCTACTTGAAGTCTGTGTTTCGGTTGCCTACGTGGTGATAAAGCATATAAAAAGGTCAGGAGAAATTTTCAGCAAAAGTTTCAGGTTTTATTACTTGATGAATTGGGTGGTTGCATATAGCCGTATGGAGGTTTAGTTGTTCAAGGAAGGTGAATTTGGTCTGCTTGGTAAGTGGCTGCAGAAGCAAGGTTATCGATAGCGGATAGCGTCGCGTAGCGGTGAGGCATCGCTAAGGCTATTTCGGGCTATTGTGATAAAATAGCGGTAAAAAGCGTAAAGTCAAATAGCGGTCTAATTTAGATATGTATAAATACTAAAAAAATTAAAGAAAAATCTAAGAAATCTAAAAATACATATTGGATGATTTAAAGAGATCCTAAACATGAAATAGACATGTAACCATCACGTAATACCGAAGATGACTGGAGGAGTCAAAAAGTCGTCGTCTTCGAGAAGAAGAGCTTAGCGGTGACAGGACTGCCCTAAGAGAAGTCACGGTGAAGGAGATGAGAGGAAGTATCAATGTAGGTGCCAGAGACTATGAGAGGTAGCGGGAGTATGCTAAAAATCACAGGAGACGGTGCAATGCAATGGTCAAGGGTTGGATTTAATTTTAAAAAAATAAGCCTCAAACCGCTTTTAAATAGTAGTCAAAAAGTAAATTTCGAATGCAATCGCTCACTATTTAACGTTATGACACACTATTGACCGTTTTTGCGAACAGATATTCTGTAATGTCACTGCTATTGCGCGATAGCGTAACGGGCGATAGCGTCGCGAGAAGGGACCGCTAACGCTATTAGCGCCGCTATTGCGGGGCTATTTACCGCTATTTATAACAGAGTGCAGAAGTAAAGGATTCTCCTAATTGTCATAATTTTTAAGTTGTCATTGGTTTTTATTATTGAAGTTCTGGTATATGGAGGTGGGAAGAACATACTAATGGTTCTTACTAAAATTTTTACAGAAAAATGCCCAGATGTTTGGTACCTTCTAGTTTGGGAATTAGAAATAAATGCAATACAGAAAATATTTGTGGTCTGGTAATGTTAGATGGAGATATTTTGTTCCAGTTTGCTAGAATTGAAATTTTGGGTCATACTCAGGGTGAGTGGAGGGAAGGGTAGTTTATTGGGTGACTCAAGCTCAGAACTAATTTCTATGGAATTTTATCTAATGAGTGGAGGCAAGGAAAGTTGCTCTCCAATCTCCATATTGCAAATTTATGACTTTTTATCTTTTCAAAATAATGGAATTTATCATGTCTAGTTTTATATGGATTTTATCTTTCGAGACTACAAACATCCAGTGTCTAGGATTACCTGGAAACGCAGGATGTCATCTAAGGTGTATGGTTTCAAAAGAGTCTTTTTTACTTGGAAGAAAAAGTGGTAAAGATCAGGTAACGGCCCTGAAACCCGTCTTCGCTTCCTGTATAGTTCTTATACCAGTAGTATTTTTCAAAGAAAATGGATGAATTCAAAAATTGCTGATAGGCCTGTAAACATTCTAGCATCAAAAGACCACTTGATGGAGAAGAAAAGTGAAAAGAAAATGTCTGAAGGAAGGTTTGGGACTGCTTTAGTATGCCCTAGCTTTGAAAACATGGGAGTATGGAAGAGATTTTCAGTATAAATACTTGCTGTTCGCTCCATGATGCTTCCAATTGATTTTTTTGATTCACTTATAGAAAACTGAACAGGGCTATAAATGCTGCAGGAAATGCCAATGTGGTGATTTCTGAGTTTCCAACTCTCATGACATTTTGAAAAACTCTCGTGACTTCAATTTTGCTTGCTACTCTTCTCCTTTCTTAGACTGTTTTTACAATATTCTCATTTCAGTACTAGATGCGATCAAATTAGGCTGGGGTGACCTCATCCTACTTTCTCAATGCAAAAAAAACAAATGAATATAAGCCTTTAAGATGACCTTTGAAATAATAAAATGTCAGTTCTGTATGATAAGCATTAAAAGGTAAGGTGCATACAATTATGTAGAACAAGAAATTAGTCAAGTGGTATAACAGTACCTCCATATTTCCAGTGTCAGGTGCACCACAGTTAAAAATTTGTGGCGCCCAAACCGAGCGACCCATAATCTCACATAAATATCCATACTCGAGGTTGGAAAGCCCGGCACCTAATATCTGACTGCTCCAAAGGCCATGAGAAACATGATCTTTTTCACCGAAGAGAACTTTTTTTGCTCTAGCAGCGCTATCAACCTACAAATAAGCACGAGTAGCATTGGCAATTGGTTCTAAATAGTATACAAGAAATTATTCAAGAAGAATAAATTATCTATTACTACTAATAAAGAAAAGCCATCCTCTTGGTCAATATGTTCAGTTCTACCCTTTGTAACTCACGAATTCAAAGAATTCCAAGAAATGTCTCCTAACTTACAACTCCCTTAACATTATACAAGAGTGAAAATTTTGGAAATTTTCAAAAAGAATCTAATTTATGATTACAAAAACTAATCTCAGAGCCGACTCCCTCTACATGTATAACTTCTCTCAAAAGAATACCACCGCATTCACTTCAATCATCCGCCTCCCACTGCCAAACTACCCCCCATGTTCCCTATTTACAACCTTATCATTCTGATTTTTATTTTTTGGCATTGATTGTTTCCCAACCATGGCTTGATTTATTATAAAAGGGATTATCACCTCAGTTTGTAAACTACAAACTCTCCCGAGATTCTTGAGTTTAGAGTATTTAAGCGCGCGGGCCCCCTTTCCCCTGTTCAAACTTTATAATGTTTCCCCTTTAATTTTTAGTGGTGCCTTTGTTGAAATGGGCATTGATATCATCAATTCAACCTCAAGAATGACTCCAAAGGTAAGTTTCCTCAAGAACTTTTTACTTGCATTTAATTAATGGATGCCTCATCTAGTTTCGGATATATTTGTTTTTTATGCAAGTGGAGTAAGAATGAGTGAACAATGAACATGTAAGAAGTCTAAGAAAACATTACGTGTATAGGACATTATTAATTTATCAATTACTATACTCGTATATCAATCTTTTTCGATTATTTTTATGCAATTATTTATAGCGTCAATCTATTGACCTTTTCTAATATATATTGATTATTGACCTTTTCTAATAGATTCTTGCATGTTAATTTTTTTTAATGAAAGCATTCGGTTAGGCTACCATTTTTTTCTAAAATTATTAAGTTGTCACTAACAATTTTTTTCAAACAAATATGTACCTTGTGCACGCATCGCATGCCATGGGAGTACTAGGTTATTAATAAACAAACCTTTAGCTGGACATAGATCAAAAGCAACAAGAAGTCAAGAAAAGTAAACATTTGGCAATTCCACGTAATGAAACTTTAATACGAGATTATGCAAAAAGAATACCGGAATCCATAAGTTCCATAGTCCTTCTCCCTTTGCTAATTCTTTCAACTTCTCTTCTTCCGGATGAACCGTCCAACGTGAACTTGATTGTGCTAGTTTGTAAAATTCATTTTCCATGGGATAAATATGCTCTTCCATGAACTTTAACAACTTTGCTCGCAGATTCAAAACCTTTTGACTAGGTACAAATTTTCCCTGCACAGGCAGGCCATATGGATTTGTTTGGTGTTTGCTTAAATGCTCTTGAGAAAGTACGGATCCTGCATAACCTGAAATGAAGAGTTTTAGCAAACAAAATCTTAAAACAGAAGCATTACCAACTTTATTGTTCAAAGCAAAACTCCTGTTAGGAGATGTAATAGCAGGATGCATCATATAAACAGAAAAATTCCTGAGAAGAGAAGCACATGCTCTACTGTTGAGCTAATTGACTACAGCGACTAGATAATGAACAGCAACTTATTAACTCGAACTGTATTCTAATCCAGTTTCAGTGTTCGACCAGAATTAGAACCAAGGTTTTAAATGTCGTCCGACATGTCCGACATGTCGGCCGACATATCGGTTTGAGGGTTTGACCGACACGACATGGACGTTTTCAACTCGTATGTCGGTTTTCAGGGCCAAATCGGAAATATCAGGGTCATATCGGGCATATCGGCCTATTTTTTAGCTTTGAATCGGAAATATCAGGGTCATATCGGGCATATCGGCCTATTTTTTAGCTTTGAAAAATCGGCCGATATGATACTTTTTTTTAAGATCTGTTTTCTGTTATCGGGTTTGGGTTTAGTGATAAATACCCAAACCCGTTTGACCCGTTCTCATGTTTAAGGGTTTCTCTCATGTTTAAGGGTTTCTTTATGAACCCGATAGAAAGAATTTATGAACCCAAATCCATATATTATTTACTTTTTTATATGTTTAGTCTATAGAATTTATGAAGTATGCTTATATTGAATTTATAAATGCTTAGATTATATTTAGGACATGATATTATACATATGCGCACTACCCGATATAACAATCCGATATTTAGTCAATGTCCCCCGATATATCCCCGATTTCCGCTATTCGACATGGATTTCAGCCATCCGACATGAACCCGACATCCGACGTTTAAAACCTTAATTAGAACATGAATTCTAATGTAGTAAATCCAGCCGAATTCAAATATTGTAGTATTCGATTTGATTCGGTTCGTTTCCACCCTTAGCTGGAAGGTTTATAACTCCGCATATTTCTGTTAAGCATGCATTTGATGTTCATGAAAATAACACCTCGCAAATTAGGGGATTGGGATGAAGGCTTTGTGGTTGTACTATGTAACGTATCAACTGTGCACAACTCCATGACAAAATAAAAGAAACATTGCTACCTATTTAATGTAAAAATAGGCTCTTATCATTTTATTTTATTTCTCATTTGTATAAAACATGTTTTATATAGGCAGGATTCAACTTTAGCTACGCAGAAGAGGTGCTTTTGTTGGCAGTTGTTTGATTCTCTATTGAATTTGGCATCACTAACTTTTTTCATTAACTAGTTGAGATGGACGTGCAGTGCACGTCTTTGAATATCATGATTATTTAAATTGATAAAAATAAAAAAAAATAAAGTTTTTTTGTGGGATTAATCATCAACTCAAATATCTCTCTTAAATGAAATATTATCATTATTTCTTTCAACCCAGACTGTGGCCACGTGATCTATTTGTAAGTTATAAACACATTGATCAAGTACAACATCTATGTTTATTAGTATCTTAAAGTCTATTCGCAAAGGAATTTTGTATAAGAATTTATTTGTAATATGTCCATTAAACTTTTAGTTATGGTTTGACTCATAATCACATTAACATTTAGCCATAATTTCACTCATATTTATATTAGCTAATATTCTCATTCAATTTTATAGCTCATTTTCTGTGTTGAAGTAAAACTAAAAATATGAAGAATTATTTCGTGATTTTTTTTCCTTTGATGCAAGATCCCTATCAATTTTTGCCCCAAACGATGTGAATAAGAAATGTTATTATAACTCATTTGCCTAGGGCACTTGTATTATATATAAGATATATAACTCATCTGAAATATCCACATCTGCTAAGTGGATTTTGTTGTTGTGAGAGCAAAATGTTAGAGGCTCGTATTCAAACTTTTTAGCTCTATAAAAGACATAAGAATTTGTAATGCATAGCTTATATATCGTAAAGAACATACCGGTTCATGAAGAATCTTCCCTAATAACGATATTATTACAACGATATTACTATTTAGTATTAAATCAATTTTATTATATAAGATTATTTGACACTTTTTAATAAATTATAACGTATATTTATAGAAATCTCGATGTTTATAGTTAGTAGGGCTCCACAAGATAGGTTAACTTCACATTGTAGTTTGCTACTGGTAGTACTGTTGGCAATGCAATTACCTTTCCTCTTTATCTTATTATTCATGCTTTTCTGATGTAAGTTCTCTTTTGCTAATTACTCAATTGACTATATTTAGTTTTTATAATATCAGAGGTTAGAATATTCTCTTCTGTTTAAAAAGTGTTGACATGATTTTTTTAAAAATTATATACACATAATAGCGATAATATATACTTTTGTTCAACTCAAACATCGGCTTGAAGCCATTTAGAGTGAGATCCTTTCCATGCTAGAATGGTGATATAGTGATTACACAATCTAGAAGTCAAAGAAGAAATTTTTACATAGAAAAAGTAATTTAATATGTCAAATTAAGAACTAATTTATAAAATATACATGAGTAGTGCAGATACTATAGAAAGTCAGGTACATATCTTCATGAAAATTCTATAGTGAGTGACCAACTACAATCATCCTAATTTAAGCATAAATAATTATTATTTTAGTTACTATTTTGATACGTGTAACTATGGAATAAATCTCAAACAAAAAATAGGAATTGAAAATTTTTAAACTTTGGAGAGGTAATTTGTAATATACTAAACTTTAAGGGTGTTTTTTATAAATTTTAAATTTAAAATCTTTTCAATTAGTTATGTTCTTTTCAAAAGAGTTAGGGGTAATATTGACCATAAAAAATTTTTCTTAAACCTATACTTTTAAAGGGAGTATGATATTTTTTGTAAATTTTTAATTTTCTCGAGGTTATTAGTAATTTTGTATATTCATTTTAGTGTCTATATGTTACAAATTCTCATGGTGTTTTTTTGAAAATTATGAATTTTAAGGGATTTTTGTAATTTTTTAAACTTATAGGCCTTTTCTACAGATTGTAAATTGTTTATAGACTATTTATAATTCTTTTTGTAATTTTTTAAACTTATAGGCCTTTTCTACAGATTGTAAATTGTTTATAGACTATTTATAATTCCTATGTTTTCAATTTACTAATGAGTTTGTTTTCTACAGATTGTAAATTGTTTATAGACTATTTATAATTCCTATGTTTTCAATTTACTAATGAGTTTGAAATTCTCAGTGTGTTTTTTATAAAATTTGAACTTTAGAGTTTTTGTTTGTAATTTTTTAGATTTTAAGGGTGTTTTTTTATAAATTATAAATTATGTTGGTGATCTTTTCAATTCCTATATTTTGTACTGTTAGTTTGAAAATTATCAAGATTTTTATAAATTTTATAATTTTGAGGGATTTATTTTGCAACTTGTAAAAAGTTCAGTGTTTATTAGAAATTCCATAAAATTTTGAAGGTTGTTTGTGTTGTTTGTAGATTTTTTGTGTTTATAAGTTTGAAATTTTCAATGTGTCTTTTTATAAATTTTGAATTTCAAGGGGTGTTTTTGTAATTTTCAAAACTTACAAGATATTTTCTCCACAGTCAAAAAACTTATAGTTTCTAGCTAGCATATGTTTTTCAGAGTTCTCACTAAATTGAAATAAATAGAATTTATAATTTTTAAGATGTTTTAATAAAATTATAAATTTATAGGGGTGTTTTTGCAATTTAAAAAACTTGGAGGATATTTTTTACAAAGTCTAAAGCATATGTTTTTTAGATTTATCTACGAACTAAAATAAGTAAATGAATTAACTTATATTAAACGTATCTCCTTTATCCAATAACATGTTAAGTCTCATTATGAATAGGATAAATCATTTAATTACCCATTCAAAGAAGATAGAATAATTAGAATAGATTAGGATAACAATGTAATATTTTAAAAGAAACTAAGGGTGATATTGACTATGAAAAGATTTTCCCGAACTCGTACTTCTAAAAGGAGTATGATTTATGGCTAAAAAAGAACATCAACAACCTACTGTAAAACTTTGCTATCGCTTGATAAGTTGCAGATTTAAGGTTGGCAAATTTTGCATGTTCCTAGGTGACTTGTCATAAAGAACTCATGTTCCTTGCTAACACTGCAGTTTAGACAGATATAAGCATCTACAAAGATTAAATAAATACAGTACAGTTGGACTCAAAATTTGGTGAATAATATCCGACTTCATAAGAATAATATCTACGCCACTAAGCTACATCTATGATGCATGAAATGATCTTGAAACGTTTTCATATAGATAAAACAGAAAAATTAACCCCAATTATCAGATTCAAAATTCACCAGTATTCTTTTAATAGCTTTATATACGCCACCTCCTTGCCTGACCTTGAAGAGTAGTTCGAACTTCACATTTCTAATTAATTACTTTTCTTAATTCGTTCCACTACCACATTTGCTTAGATTCCTTCATTTTCTGTCCAGTTCAGTACGAAACTTGCATCCCTAACCTTTGTATCACTTTATCATGATAACGGAGTATTTGTATGTGAATCTTAAAAAAGACAGACAGATGAAGGCTGTTAACAGTAGTAGGTAACAGTTCATCCATCACCTTACATCTTCATCTATACTCCCAACATGGTGTAGGGGGAATTATGAGGCTGACTCCCTGGCTGCATAATTACAAATTTGGCATTTGGGTGCATGGAAATAATACGGTGAGAATAAGAAGATTGGAGTTCAGGAAGTATCCAGAGATCTGGAACTGCTAGGTAATAGTTTGGGAAGATTGTAAAGGAGATTTGCATATAAATCTAAACAATATAGAACTAAATAGTTGTTTAAAAAACACAAGAAAGCATTTGGTAAAGTTATTAGCACTTCAATCTCACAGTTACAGACTCCCAATTCAATTGCTATATATGGCGTGTTTTTGTAATAACTTAACAAACTCAGCGAATAATTTGTATTTTCCTTCGATAATATGTGAATTATTATATTGAATAATTCATGAGAACCCGAACAA